GTCGAATGCTGCAGCTATCTTTAGAAATCTCACATTGATACCTGCTTTGTGTTTTGTCAGATCTGGAGCAAAAAATGTTCTTACATTTAACAACATGCTGGGTTGTCATCTGAGACTAAGTTAACATGAAATATATGACAGAATGTAAATAAAACCACAGAGGAGGAGATGTACAATTCTCTTCCAAGGAATTCAGTTACAAATGTAATTAACACACTATTTTTTTTAGTGGACATCCCCAGCATGGAAGTACGTCCTCTGGAATGGTGGCAAAACAAATTGTAACATATCTAGCAACGCCAGCTATAAAAGTGCCATGCAAATGCTTGTTTTCACTGACATTGTAAATAAGAAGCGGATAGTATAATCTCCTGTAAATGTAAATAAACTTGTTTGTCTTAGTGATTGGCTAAACAAGAAATAGGACTAAGTGGACTTGGGGTCTTCTAAAGTTTTACATTGTTTTGTTTTTCAGTGCAGTTACATAACAAATCTACATTTGTAAATTGCACTTTCATGATAGAGATTGCACTACAGTACTTTGAGGTAAACTGAAAATATTATTTTTGTCTTTTTACAGTGTAAATATTTTCAATAAAAATATAAAGTGAGCACCGTACACTTTATATTCTGTATTGCAGATGAAATCAATACATTTGAAAATGTAGAAAATATCCAAAAATATTTATAATAAATTTAAATTGGTATTCTATTATTGTGCAACTGTGCAATTAAAGCTGCAATTCACAAATACTTTTTAATTTTGTTTTGAATTAATCATTTGAGATAACTATGATTAATTGACAGCCCTAATTGCTGGTGATTAATCTAAGTGGATGTTTTTATTAAAAAAATTCTTGACTGTACCAGAATTTGTTAGAAGATCTGAAAGTTAAAGGTACTACAAAAGTCTGAATGAATCAGTCTCTTCTTGTTACATTGGTGACTTTATGGGTGTGTCTAAACTACATGGCTCCGTTGATGGAGCCATGTAGATTGTTTGTTCGGCAAAGGGAAATGAAGCCGCGATTTAAATAATCGCGGCTTCATTTAAATTTACAGGGCTGCCGCGCTGAGCCGACAAACAGCTGATCAGCTGTTTGTCGGCTCAGCGCGGCAGCCCTGTAAATTTAAATGAAGCCGCAATTATTTAAATTGCGGCTTCATTTAAATTTACAGGGCTGCCGCGCTGAGCCGACAAACAGCTGATCAGCTGTTTGTCGGCTCAGCGCGGCAGCCCTGTAAATTTAAATGAAGCCGCAATTATTTAAATTGCGGCTTCATTTAAATTTACAGGGCTGCCGCGCTGAGCCGACAAACAGCTGATCAGCTGTTTGTCGGCTCAGCGCGGCAGCCCTGTAAATTTAAATGAAGCCGCGATTATTTAAATCGCGGCTTCATTTCCCTTTGCCGAACAAACAATCTACATGGCTCCATCAACGGAGCCATGTAGTTTAGACGTACCCCATGTGAGAAAGTATCTGAGGAAAGAGAGTGTAAATATATGAAAGAAGTGAGCTTCAGGCAAGGCTTCAGCAGCACAAATATATACTGAGAAAGCAGAAAGAGACAGGTTAACTCTTGCTGGTTCACAGACGTGTCAATTATAGTGTCCCTTCCTTCCTATTGGGTCTCACTCTATGGGAGAAAGGCTGGGGTGCTGCAGCTTAGAAGCTTTGGTTTGGGAGGAGATACCTTTTCATTTGTCTGAGGTTCTTGTAGTAGCTTCCCAGGAAAAGGTCATGTGGGAATACACTAAACTGTTTTATCTTTTGGCCTGCCTGGTGATGCCCTGTGCTGGCCAGTATCGCCCAGCTTCTTGTTGTGTGTTGTCCTAAGTTGTGCGGTCTGGAGGAGGGGACGTTGCTGAAACTTACATTGGTGCCTGCTCCCTTTCCACCTAGCAGATGTACCTCTGGAGTCCTCCACTAGGATTGTCTGACCTATATTATGGCCTCTGTCTAACTGAGAAAGTGGACAGGGAATTTTGGAGGAATGGAGTTAAAGAGACATGACTCAGTTAAGTAGTTTCCAGATTTTTAATGTTTAAGCCAGTATAATAAACTCTGACTCCAGGTGATGGCTGTCCCCCAATGACATTAAGTTATGTCTACGCATATCTATGCACACATTTGATGCCTTCCCAGCTCAGTTTCTGGCGATGCACTGGAGACTTATTTGTCCTACTTCTAACCTCCCATCTGCAAAACCTACAGTGTGAGCCCCTTATCACATTGTTTCTCTTTTTGTTTTGAGCCCAACATGCATTAATTTAAAATTTACTGTGTTACCAGAGCTCATGATTTCATTGCAAGTCTTGCAGTATTCTTTTTTCAAAGTCTCGGGTTCTGGAGACAAGTGATTATGTGAGAGGCTCATCTTTTATTTTAAAAAGATCAAGATCTGACGAAGAGGGTCTTTGCCCACGAAAGTTTATGCTACAATAAATCTGTTAGTCTATAAGGTGCCACAGGACTCCTCGTCGCTTTTGCATATATCGACATTGAATTTCATCTACCATTTTGATGCCCAGTCACTCAGTTTTGAGAGATCCCTTTGTAACTCTTTGCAGTCTGCTTCAGATTTAACTATCTTGAATAGTTTTGTATCATAGGCAATTTTCGCCACCTCACTGTTAACCTTTTCCTCTAGATCATTTATAAATATGTTGAAAAGGACTGATCCTAATACAGACCCTGCAGAACATCACTCTCCATTCTGAAAACTGACTATTTATTCCTACCATTAGTTTCTTTTAGCCAGTTACCAGTCCACGAAAGGACCTTCCCACAACAGCTTACTTTGTTTCAGAGTCTTTGGTGAGTGACCTTTGTAAAGGATTTCTGGAAATCTAAGTACAATATATCCACTGGATTCCCCCTTGTCCACATGCTTGTTGACCCCCCTCAAAAAATTCTACTAGACTGATGAGGGTTGATTTCCCTTTACAAAAACCAGGCTGACTCTTCCCCAATAAATTATGTTCAGCTATGCGTCTGCCAATTTTGTTCTTTACTATAGTTTCAACCAGTTTCCCAGGTATGAAATCATGCTTACGCATGTGTTCGCTGGGACCTCCTACCTCTAGAGCTCTTTTTAAAAATTGGCATCACATTAATTGTCTTCCAGTCATTTGGTACATAAGCTGATTTAAATGACAGGTTACAAACTACCATTAGCAGTTCTGCAATTTCACATTGAGTTCCTTCAGAACTCTTGGGTGAATACCATCTGGTCCTGATGACTTATTACTGTTTAATTTATCAGTTTGTTCCCAAACGTCCTCTATTTGGGACAGTTCTTTAGATCTGTGATGTAAAAATAATGGCTTAGGTTTGGGAATGTGTCACATCCTCTGCCATGAAGACTGAGGCAAGGAATTAATTTAGTTTCTCCACAGTGGCCTTTATTGTCCTCGTGTGCTCCTTTAACATCTTGATTGTCCAGGGCCCCTACTAGTTTAGCAGGCTTCCTGCTTCTGATGTACTTAAATTTTTTGCCATTACTCTGAATCTTTGGCTAGCCATTCCTCAAATCTTCTTTGGCTTTCCTAATCATATTTTTATACTACACTTGCCAGACTTTGCCTCACTAGCATTTAACTTTCACCTTTTAAATATGAGGTTTTTTTATGTCTTTTTGTTTTCTCTTTTGATGACTTCTTGTTTTGCACTGCTTCTTTTATTTTGTTTAGCCACAGTGACACTTTTTTGGTTCTCTTATGCTGTTTTTTTAAATGTGGGATATACATATACATTGAGCCTCTATTGTGATGTCTTTAAAATGTTTTTATGCGGTTTGCAGGTTCACTTTTGGCACCATGCCTTTTAATTTCTGTTTAACTTGCTCATTTTTGTGTAGTCTCACTTTCTGAAATTAAATGCTTCTGTGTTGGGCCACTGTGGTATTTCCCCTTCCACAGGATGTTACATTTCTTACCAAAGAGTCCAGGTATATTCACCTCTTGGACCAGATCCTGTGCGCCACTTAAGACTAAATCAAGAATTGCCTACCTCTTGTGGATTGCAAGGACTAGCTGCTCCAAGAAGCAGTCATTTAAGATGTCAATATGACTTCACCATTGACTACTGTTATCTGGTTGTAGGCATGGCTCAATGTATGATTATTCCTTTGTATTCTTATGGCATTCATATTGTGTCTCCTCTTAAATGATCCACTTCGAGTGGCAATGATGTCTTGGTGTCTCTGAAAGTGATGGCAAGAGGAGAATCTTCTGACGGGTTGGAACTCCCTTCTCTTGGGTCCTCCACTTTGCCTACCCTGACCATTCCTATTGCACCCAAGGCCACAGAGCCAGTGTGGTCCCTTTCAAACGATGTTCTTAGAACCGCCCCGAAGTATTTGCAGTTTCTAACTCCAGAATTATAGGTTAGGCCACAGTTGCATCTACTCCTACAGGGATGGCTCCCACATGTTTTCCCACATACAGCTGTACTTGTGTAGTAGGATAGGATCATCCTTCATTATGTAGACACCATAGAAGAATGATTTATCTGGGGCTCACTGACACCCTCTAATTGGTCTCTAAGTAATGACTTGCTGTATCTGGAGTCAACTAGTGGAATTGCCACTTTCATTCTATTAAACTCTATAGGTACTGTTAGTTTGGCTGGGCACCATTTCTGGGCTCAAGTCTCAGCCATCCAAATGTCTCCTTAATCTCACAATATGAAGGGAAGTCTCAGTGAGGATGAACCTGTTGGCCACACAAAGTGGAATCTTCTCTTGGTTCCTCTTTGAGGTGGATCTTGTCCCCTTGTCTTTCAATGGACTTGTTCTTCTTTTGAGCTCCTCCTCCAGGTGTGATGCAATGGGGCTGTCTATGGCAAGAATAGCTGCTTATCCTCATACCTACTCTTGCAGACTTTTTTATACACGAAGTCCTATATAATACATTGGTCACATTTATTGTATTAGGAAATTTAATGAAGTTTCATTAACAAAGTAAAAGACAGTAGAAAAGATATGTATGCATTATATTTAACAGTGGTTAACAGCTTTAATGACATCAATTACAAATCCTTAAAACAAGTTAAATATCAGATTTAAAAATTGTTCACTAATTGCTAAAGGCCACAAGAATGTGCCACTCAGCCATTGTGAAAAGATGACTACACTTACGGGCTGCTCTAATTTACAGGAGCTTCCCCACTGCTGCCAGTTCAATACCTAGAACACAAAATGCTCAGGCTATTCTCCCTTCTGCTCTGGTATGGCTCCTGCCCTCAGCTATCCCAACAGTGGCCAGTATTCCCTCTAAGCGAAGCTCTTGGGCAGCTGCCCAGGACCAATTCAAATGCCACCCAGCTGATTAGCAGAGCACCCATTACTAAGCGACAGCATGTATTTCTACTGATGTTGCACATCTGCACGTGCCTTGGTGCTCATAACAAAATTTAATCAGCACATGGATAGAAAAAATTAGAGGGAACACTGCCAGTTGCTGAGTTTGAGTAGTACACAGGGCTTGTGGAATTCCTTAGACTGTCAGTCCACGCCCCCCCCCCTTATCACCAGAGCCTGATAAAGAGTCCACAGCAGGGGGGGAAGAACCTGTTCCTAACACTCATGTCTAATTTTGTTTGTATAACCACCACCAGCCAGATTCAAATGTGGGACCACAGGAGCTTAGTATAGGAGCCTCTACAGCTTGATCTATAAGGCTAGCTGGCTCTTAGCTTGCCTTAGGCCGTAGAACTCACTCATTCATATCTCTACTGGAAGTGGTCTAAGTGACACTATGTGTAACAGTGAACCAACCCACTAGCTGTGTGGGTTACATTTGCTCAGTTTTTCTTTATTTACCTAGTTTGTTCTGTAAGTTTTAACTGTGCCCATGAGTACTGAGTTGCTAAGGCTATTTGCTTTCACTACAGTTCATTTATGAAATGCTTGATTGCAGAGACAAATTGACACAAATGTGGGCAGCATTCCAAGGGACAGATTCTTCATTCTTTAGGACTTCACTGAACCCTGTATTGTCAACAGGTCAATCCATTTTATTTTTTAAGCTTTTCAGTCACTTGTAAGTTGGAGACTTCTGTTTGTCTCCTGCTCAACTCTTGACTTCTCCATCTAAGTGTTTAAAAATAAAATTAATGAACCCAGAAAAAAGACCTGGACTCCTATCTTGACAACCCCAGAATGCTGAATCACGTAGCTGAAATTCACTGAAATCTATGAAAGACATAACATCTTCTCAGAGGGTTGTAAGGGAGGAAAAAAAAGCCACCAAATAGTTTTGCACTTGCATAATCAGGGAAGAAATCTGGTAATGTTAAAACAATAGATTAAAATCTAAGGCCTGGGCTCATCCCTTATGTGCTACAGTAGTATTGAAGAGCTATGGAAATATATGAGGGAATAATATGGCCCAATTAGATTAGTTTTTTAAATGATAAAATTAAGATAAATTTAAGTTTTGGGGGGATTTTTGCAGAAGTAGTCTAGGATGCAGCCTGCTACTCCCATAAATTAATAGCGGAGTGCCCCAAGGTTCAGTTCTAGGACCGGTTTTGTTCAATATCTCTATTAATGACCTGGATTAGGGGATAGATTGCACCCTCAGCAAGTTTGCAGATGACACTAAGCTAGAGGGAGAGGTAGATACGCTTGAGGGCAGAGATAGGGTCCAGAGTGACACAGACAAATTGGAGGATTGGGCCACAAGAAATCTGATGAGGTTCAACAAGGACAAGTGCAGAGGCCTGCACTTGGGACAGAAGAATCCCAAGCATTGTTACAGGCTGGGGACCAACCAGCTAAGTAGTAGTTCTGCAGAAAAGGACCTGGGAGTTACAGTGGATGAGAAGCTGGATAGGAGTCAACAGTGTGCCCTTGTAGCCAAGAAGGCTAATGGCATATTAGGGTGCATTAGGAGGAGCATTGCCAGCAGAGCCAGATAAGTGATTATTCCCCTTTATTCGGCTTTGGTGAGGCCACATCTGGAGTATTGTGTCCAGTTCTGGACCCCCCACTACTAAAAGGATGTGGACGCATTGGAGAGGGTCCAGCGGAGGGCACCCAAAATGATTAGGGGGCTGGAGCATAAGACCTATGAGGAGCGGGTGAGGGAGTTGGGTCTGTTTAGTCTGCAGAAGCGGTGAGGGGGGATTTGATAGCAGCCTTCAACTTCCTGAAGGGAGGTTCCAAAGAGGATGGAGAAAGGCTGTTCTCAGTAGTGACAGATGGCAGAACAAGGAGCAATGGTCTCAAGTTGTGGTGGGAGAGGGCCAGGGTGGATATTAGGAAAAACTATTTCACTAGGAGAGTGGTGAAGCACTGGAATGGGTTACCTAGGGAAGTAGTGGAGTCTCCATCCCTAGAGGTGTTTAAGTCTCAGCTTGACAAAGCCCTGGCTGGTTTGATTTAGTTGGGATTGGCCCTGCCTAGAGCAGGGGGCTGGACTTGATGACCTTTTGAGGTCTCTTCCAGCTCTATTGTTGTATGATTCTATGAAATCTTTGGGACATACCTTGTAAATGGATCATAAACCTAAAGGTTAGATCATATATACTAACATCTATTGCAAAAATAGAGGATTTTGTTTACTTTTAACAAATTTGGGTTACATGGTTTGAGTTGTCACGGTGAGTATTTCATAGAGCTCCCACTGCATGGATTCTGATGACTTTAACAAACTACTTGGTCTCCACGCTATCTTTGCTCAGTAGAATTATTATATGCAGTTTTGTGTTTAGAACTCTCCTTATATTATTTTGGGTGATTCATTGTACTTTCATGTTGCTGAGTCTTGTGGGCATAGTTGAATGCTAAGTCTGTCCACATTCTGTGCAGACTGGAGGTGGGGGGAGGGCAGGGCAGCTGCCAGCAGGTGAATGTCCCAGCAGAGGCCTTGATCCAAAAACCCATTCTCATCAGTGGATTGCGGATTGTGCCCAGTATGTATAGTTAACTATAATCAATTGCTATTTTCCTTTGGCTAGTCAAAAACCTGTACCAACCCTACAATCTATTAATTACAGGGATCTGCAGAGACTCCTAATGGTGAAAGTGGATATTTAATTAGTTTTTTAGTATTAGATCATGGAAAGAAAACACTGGCCAAGGCGATCCTCTGAGATGAGTATGTGGAGGGGGCTCTTCTGGAAACACCCCCCCAATTCCCTGTGAGGGCCCCAATTCCTTGTGTGGGCCCTGGAAGGGCCTAACAAAGCATGTGGGGAGGGAGCAAGCAGTGTTTGGGACAAGGAAGGAGAAGACATAGGCTATATTTACAGTTTCCCTCCCTAGTGGGGAATCCCTGGCCAGATGCAGAAGCTCTGTGAGGTGGTCCAGGAATCCATAACACAGTGACACAGGCCTTCTGTATGGATGTCTCTAAGTGTCTGCTCATCCCCGGGGATCCATACAGATCTCTGGTTTCATGGAGTTTGGATACTATCCACTGACCTCATTCCAAGGAAGGGTAAAAATTGCACCCTACATAGTAACTGTGGAAAAAGAGAGATTGCATCATTTGGCCCCCTTCTGCAGGTTTACCTGTGGAAGGGACTGTTCAGTCCCACTTGTATTTGGCACATTCCATTTCAGGGTTGGGCTTTTTGTCCCATATTCTTATTTAACTAGGCAGATACTATAATATTTCCTTTCTTTTCTGCCACAACAGTTAAAATATTTAGCATTCTGTCTTGTTTAATATGCCATTCAGGATTTCCACACAAATTCCCTTCAGTGATTTTCCAGCCTACTGCTTCCAAATCAGAAATACTATTTGCATTTCTCAAATAAAAGTGTTTTTATGAAAACTCTCGGGATTTTGTTTATTTCTTTGGGTTTGGGGTTCGTGTGATGGTTTATGAACAAAGCAAGCAGCCTAACTCAGGTGAGTACTCTCACTGGAGTGAATTGTTCAGAATCCATGGGAACATGGATGACAAGAATTTGTAGCATAGGAGCTCATTATTTCTAGAACTCCATGAGGCAGAATTCTCAACTGATGCAAACCTGCGTAATTCCATTGGCTTCATGGAGACATGTCAATTTAGATCAGCTGAATTTCTGAGCCTATATTTACTGGCTGAATTCCTGGTCCCATCAAAGTAAATGATAAAAACCCCATTGATGTAATTGCAATGGGACCAGGATTTCACCTGCTGTTTAGTCAGGTGATGGTATTTTGTACCTTGTTAATATATTATGTGCACCAGTTCTACCTATCCACCTAAATGTCTGATCCCTTTGGATCTAAATACATTACAAAATGAACCATGGTTGGGGACCCTTTTAAAAATGGTTTCATATATAAACATGGTTTACTTTGCAGGGATGTTCAGAATTTTAATTTTTGTAAACTACTTGGCAATCTTCAGATGAAAAGCATTTTGGAAGTGCAAATTAATACTTTTTATATGTCAAATATAAGGATTGATTTTATGCAATGAGGAGTTAAGAAATGGCTGAGTTTCAGCTGTGAAAACCTTTCTTTAAGTATGTCTTGAAGGCCAGACTCCATTGAAAATTAATTACTGTATCCTAAGCAACCACCCGGAATGGAAGTATGTAGCTGCCAAATGAGAGTTGAAATAATTTTCTATTTGTGTCCATATTTGAAACATGGTAAGATTCCCATTCAAGTTTCTCAAGAAAGAACTAAATGACCTGGGCATTATCAGTCATATATATCTTAGGAAATGTTCCAACTCACCTCTCCTATTACATCGACTAGCAGCTTTAGGGCACGAGGATCATGGACAAGTGAATCTGTGTAAAATGAACCAAGGTATTTCTTTGGATCAACTTTATTATCCACTGCACACAAATCAGGACGCACATTGAATCCATGGGAAATACGCCCTAGTGTATATGGGAAAGCACCACCTACAAAGAGGTAATTGTATTAGAAGTGGAAATTATTTCTTTGCTTTACAAAACCTGAAAATACAGAAAGGAAAGGCTAATTTCTCAACACAGAGACATTATTGTGCAGCTAAATGGAAATTAATATAATACTCAGGAGTAAGCAAGAGAGCTTAATCACAAACAAGCCCAAGCTAAAAATGGAATAAAATGGGGGCAAATAAGTATCATTTCATTGAAGTCAAAAGAGAAACTCCAATTTACTCCAGCAAAAAATTTGACATCAACATTATAAGAATTGAGCCACTTCAGTGATTAAAGATTGGCATTTAGCATTTCTGATCAGGGATGACTGAGAGAAATTTGTGTATGTGTAGTGGGAAAGCACACTCATTGGACCAGTAATGGGAGGTGGGGTATGATGGAGATGACTGTCATCTTATTTTGGGTAGAGAAATATTCACAGTACTGATCATGATCTTCTATTCACAGCTGGTTCATGCTTGCTGTACAATCTTAAGGCCATGTTTACAGTGGGGCTACGTCTACACTGGCCCCTTTTCCGAAAGGGGCATGCTAATTTTCAATTTCAGAATAGGGAAATCCGCGGGGGATTTAAATATCCCCCACGGGATTTAAATAAAGATGTCCGCCGCTTTTTTCCGGCTTGGGGAAAAGCCGGAAAAAAGCGTCTAGACTGGCCCGATCCTCCGGAATAAAGCCCTATTCTGGAGAATCTCTTATTCCTATTTCAAAGGAAGTGGAGAGATGTACAACTGTTGGGCCAGTCTAGATGCTTTATTTAAATCCCGCGGGGGATATTTAAATCCCCCGCGGATTTCCCTATTCTGAAATTGAAAATTAGCATGCCCCTTTCGGAAAAGGGGCCAGTGTAGACGTAGCCTGGTAGTATAAGCAGCACACATGTTTTTGATGAGCACATGGTGAAATCCTGGTGCTACGGACTTTAATGAGGCAAGGAATTCATCTACTGTATTTCTGTCTGATATAAGACATGCCTTTGGAAGATCCTGTCAGCCCTTTGAACTACAGGTTGTGTGGGAGGATGGAGGCAATTTCAATTATGGTAGTGTGATAAAAGAAACACTACATTTGATGGACAGAATTACTGGGCTTTCATTGGAAAGAACCCTGTTTCGTCAATGCAAGTAAAAAGGTATATCTGACTATTACATAGATAAATCACGTGCCCAACAGTTGTACATCTCTCCACTTCAGTTGGCTTGGTATATGATGAAACTTTACAGTTTCCTAGACACTGCTAGGCTGGATCTTTAGTCCTTGTGATTATAAAGATAACCTTTGATATATGAACCCAGTGTAAACTGAAGCATTGATGTCTGCCTCAGCTGATAGACAACTTGAAACTATAGGTCCTTGGGAAGTTCCCCTATCTATAGCAATGAGTGTTAATACCGAGGCTTGAATAATAATTTAAATATCAATATTCTCAAATTCACTACAGAACAGAACATTCAAGAAAAAAGGAATAGCAGAATCTGAAGATCTGCAAATTCTACTTGCTTGGCACCTTGTTTTGATGTTTAATTTTTGCATCTTAAGAGAGCTGAGTTTGGTGTGTGGGTGGAATTTGTGAGCATACCCACACCCCAAAATAATATTCTTATTGACAACCATTATTTAAGAGACATGTGCCAACTCTTGCCATGTGACGTAAGTGTCTCTGTTCCCTTCTCCTCCTTACATTTCCTCCCCAGCTGTCTGTTTTTTCTCTTCAAGAACATAATTTTAAAAAGAAAATTGCTTCCTATTGGATGTCAAAATAGAAAAATGGCCAGGTCAACAGTACACTAGAATATAGAGGTGCATCTTTCGAGCTCATCAGATCCCATATAAGATGAGCCATGTTGCAAAGTTATCCTGATTATACATTTTACACCACACAGCATTTTTACCCAGTCCGTCTTTCCCTTCTTTAAAATAAACTTGATTTAAAACAAACAAGCAAGAGTAATTGCAACATCAAAATATCAGCCTTTGTCACTGAAGCACAATAATACTAGAAATCTTAGAATACAACCGTGGGCACAATTTTTGTCATCTCTTTTTGAGATTTGTCACCTTAATTTTATTTTGCTTCCTTTATCGGTATAAGCTTTTCTGGGTTTCCTTCTGCTCATATTGTGTGCTTTTTCTTCCTTACAAGAGTAGCTCTAACTTAGTGCTGGCTTCTGATTTTCTTTCTAATTTATTTCTGACTCGGGGAGGTAGGGAGAGAGAGAGGAAGGAAGGATACGAGAAAGAGAAACATTCTGAATGAACAACTCACCTTTAGTTCTGACTGCTCTGATGTTTCCTTTGGTGAACAAGTTGTCAGACAATGCTGAAGAGGCTACCCTCTTTCTTTTTCCCCACACCATCCATTAGCATTTTGCTCTTATTAGCTCATAATAAATGCAGAATTAACATGGGCTATTAAAAAGTCCTGTCCAGAATAAGTAATTTGTGTTGACTTTTAATTGTCCCATTTGGTTAAATCTGCTGTATGTGGTCATACTGAGTCCCAATGATATATCAAAATATTAAGAACTAGATTCTGTAACCTATTGCATGCAAAACTCCCAATGACTTATCTAGCTTGGGTTTTGAGTGAACATTTTTTTGTCAAAAAACAGTCATTAAGGGTGCCAACGAGAAGCTTATTTTGAGAAATAAAAAGTTACAGAGGAGTATTACACAAAGGCTGCATGCTCCATTTTTGATTGCTCGTGATAAATTTTGTATTATTCTATTTGCATATTATAAAATCAACTCACCATGGCCTCACTCCAAATCTTTCCTCATACAAAACTCCCACTGACTTCCAAAAGGGTCAGTGGTTATGTTAGTTCAATTTATTCAATCCTGGAGATGAACTCTAATCAACATGGGGCCTTTCGAGATAATTGAATACTTTGGTTTCCAAGTCTTTTCATTGCTTGGCCTCTTTGCTCAGACCATCAACAAGGATGCCAATTATTGATAGCTGTAGTGGTGTTTTGTGATATGGACTTAATACTACTGCAAACTGGACTGAGACCACAAAACCCATTATGTTAGAACATTTGAACTGAACGGATTCCTTAGGAATTGGGTGTTGTCCTTCCTTTTAACAATCACCTTTAAAATGGCTCATTTCTTTTTAAATCATCCTCTTTGAGATACGCCAGGGTCTTTATTTTAACTTTATATTTTTACTAGAAGATTTGCTTGGCATTGCTTGGCAATTAATTTTTGTTTTTTGGAAAATAAAAAAAAACATACATGCTTCATTTAAATCATTGCTCTGGGGTGGGGTGCATGTCCCCTGGGTGGGGCAAGTCCAAATTTGTCTGCCCCCTGCACTCACAGCCCGAGTGAGGAATGCAGCAAACAGTACCCTTTACTCTCACTCCCTGACAAAGGGGAACAGCCAACAATGTCCCCTTACACATTGAGGGAGGGGAAGGAGAGCTTCCGCTTGCCCCGCTTAAAGAAAGCTTGAGGGCAGGAGGCTTGGGCTGGGGCAGTCCTGTGGGGAGGGTGTGGCCCCAGCCAGTCCCTTTCACCTGTTTGGTGATACTCTTTTCTATATGGTTTTATGAGAAGCAATCCCATTCCAGGTATATCCCATTTTTCTGGCACAACCAAACCCTTATGTTGCTTTAAGTTATGATAAGAGAAAGCTGTATGCCAAATTTGGTGGCCCTAGCTCTTACTGTTTAGAAGGAAATCTTGAACAAACAGGCAGATAGACAGACAAATTCTCTCAAATATATAGTAGATTGAATGTTGTTGTCCAAATATAATTAAATGCTTGACTTTGCTCTCATAGCAGACAAAATTAAATTCAATAATACCCAGCAAACTACCTACCTCCATGGGCAAAACAAACTTTCAGTTTAGGAAAATTTTCAAAAATTCCTCCCATAATCATGGAGCAAATGGCAATGGTTGTTTCCCCTGGCATGCCTAACGACAAGAAAAAAAATCATGACATAAGACATTACACTGCAGCTTGATGTTTTCCCTGATATCCTCTATAGTTAATGCAAATGGCAAATTACATTGCATTATTTCTTATTTGAGAAGCACGCAACACTATTAATCAGTTAAGGTTCTTAAACTTTGGGCAGAAAACAGGACTGGGAGCTAAGAAAACCTAAGCTGTAACCTCAGGTCTGACACTGGCTATCTCTGTCTTTGGGCCAGAATTTTCAAATTTGATTCCTAGAGTTAAGCACCTAAAGCCAAATTTAGAAACCTATACCAGGCAATTTCTATCACTATACCAGGCAATGAGTGTTGGGGGTACTCAGCAGCTCTAAAATATCAGGTCCCATATGTGCCTATCTCTAGACACCCAACTTTGAAAATTTGGGCCTAAACCTCTCTGCTTTAGTTGTCTCATGATATGGAGAAAATAACACTTCCCAACTCAGAAGGGAGTTGCCAGGATTAAGTTGTTAGTTCAGTGCTCTGAAGATTAAAGCTCTACACAAGTACCATTAAAAGTGTTTTTAGGTTACTGCATCTCATTAAGTAAATAGAACAACGTTCCAGTTTTTTTTTAACACTACGTCAAATAGACCTGTACTGAGTAACATTATCTCATATGGTGTTAAAAATGGTGCGAGCAGCTGGTAGCCCATCTATAGTAGAACTCACATTGGATCTGAGCCAGAGTTAACAAAAGGCACACCTCCAGATATGGCCAATGTAATGCAACCCAATGCAAGCACTGTGGTGATGTGAACACCTGTGCACCTTTGCTAGAAACTTCATGTGTGGAGGTCAGGTGTTTCATAAGAGCAGTACTGGCTGCAACACGAAAAATGTTCTAGTGTGGATAGTGCTAAAGTTTCTGTTCTCAGTCACAAGGTACGTCTACACAGCACCCTAAACTCAAAATAAAATATGCAATTTGTATGACACAATTTGAGTATCTTATTTTGACTGTATTTTAAAAAAGCTTATTTAAAATTTGGCGTGTCTACACAGTGCCAAATTTCAAAATAATGTGCTATTTCGAGATATCCCTTTATCCTCATGGAACGAAGGTTACAGGGATGCCGAAATAGTGCACCCGTTATTTAAAAAATATTTTGAAATAACAGGCGTATTGAAAAGACAGAGGGTAGCTATTTCAGGATGCCTCCAGTATTCCGAAATAGCCCCACTGTCTAGACACTTTACCTACAGTGGTGTAAATCCGGAGTAACTCCAATGAAAACTGTCAAATTATACAGCACTAAACCAGTAGAAACAGGCCTAAAATCTTCTAGCAACTATCATAATTCTACCCAGTTACTCTGTGCTGGACTGCAACTCTAATTTAATCGACAGATGTGAAAAACACTGAAACCAGACAATTTCCTATTGCCTATACCTCTAAGGAGCCATGAACACATAATGTTTCCACTATTGTTGAAATAAACTGAAAATCAAAATATTGCTTTCTTAGTCTACCTGTTTCAGAGGGCATTATAAAAAGTAATGTGTGTTGTTTTCTAATTCTGCTTGTCTTTATTCTAATTATTCCTTTGGCAGACTTCTTGTTATACAGGCAGAAGATGGAGATCTGCTCTCTAGGAGGCAAGAGAACATTAGAGGCTGTTACAAGCCTCTTAAATTCTAAAGATACAGATATTATAAATATACAAAGTTTAGCCAATGAAGTTTACAGTGTTGACCTAATGGCGGTGTCTGATTTTAAAAATGATTGACAGAGAAATGTAATGTAAACTTTCCTCATGCAATTATACATTTGGGCTGTGTCTAGACTGGCAAGTTTTTCTGCAAAATCATCTGATTTTGCGGAAAAACTTGCCAGCTGTCTACACTGACCGTTTGAATTTTTGCAAGAACACTGACGATCTCATGTAAGATCGTTAGTGTTTTTGCAGAAATACTGTGCTGCTCCCGTTTGGGCAAAAGCCCTCTTGCACAAATCATTTGCACAAGAGGGCCAGTGTAAACAGCACAGAACTGTTTTCCGCAAAAAAGCCCTGATCGCGAAAATGGTGATCGGGGCTTTTTTGTGGAAAACCGCGTCTAGATTGGTCACAGACGCTTTTCCGCAGAAAGTGCTTTTGCGGAAAGCATCCTGCCAATCTAGACGTGCTTTTCCGAAAATGCTTTTAACGGAAAAGTTTTCCGTTAAAAGCATTTTCGGAAAATCATGCCAGTGTAGACGTAGCCTTGCAGTTGTCTCCTTGGCATGATGTGTTGCAGCTAATGCCAGGTAATAAAGCAAGATTAAGCACTATAACTATATACTCACCCACAAGCCAGGGAAGCCAATACTTGGACATCCTTCCATTTGTTTGCATATCCCAGGGATGCACAAACAGACAACAGTTTAATAATTCAGCAGCCTGTGGTGAAAAGGAAAAAATATTATCTGGACTTAGCAGCAGCAAAATGAACTCCAAAATGTATGTATACTTCAGGCAATAGTGCTAAAAAGTCCTCCCCCCCCCCCCTTTGGGTGTAAATCATTCATAGAAAGCATTGCAAGATTTGGCAAACAATGGAGGTACTCACCAGGCCCAAGTTGTAGCCCCTACTGAGTAAATGGGCTTGGAACATACAGAATATATTCTCCTTTTCTCTCTCAGGGTATGTCTACACTCCCGCCCTAGTTCGAACTAGGGGGTATGTCATACGAACTCGCAAATGAAGCCCGGGATTTGAATTTCCCGGGCTTCATTTGCGAGTTCGTATGACATACCCCCTAGTTCGAACTAGGGGGTATGTCATACGAACTCGCAAATGAAGCCCGGGATTTGAATTTCCCGGGCTTCATTTGCGAGTTCGTATGACATACCCCCTAGTTCGAACTAGGGGGTATGTCATACGAACTCGCAAATGAAGCCCGGGATTTGAATTTCCCGGGCTTCATTTGCGAGTTCGTATGACATACCCCCTAGTTCGAACTAGGGTGGTAGTGTAGACATACCCTCAAAGTCCACCATAGCAGCAGATTGAGGTTTGTCTGTGCTACAGAACTACACTAAATTAGAGCACAATCTCAACTAACTAACACAGTTAGTTAGTTAACTAACACAGACCAGCTGATATGGTAATGAACGTGACTGCCTACATTGCCTTCAAAGTTGTGTTCAATTTATGTTAGTTGTATGTTAGGTTATGTTCTAACCTGGTGCAATTTTTTCAATTAAGAGAATCCCATGGAAAGAACTCCTGCACCCATGAGGATGGTAGTATTTATCCTTCAATCCCTGATCCTTACTCCAATTCTCACTCTGATTCAAAGGTCTCTTTAAGGACTATAAAATTGGGCCCTTAAATTTTGTCATTTAAATAAAATTTTCTTCAGATTTAACTGTTTGGTACAAGAATGCCTGTCACATTATTTGTATCTGTGTCTTATTGCAAAGTTTAGCTTAACAGTCTGCTTGATTAGTGATGGGCAAAATATGGATCTGGCCCACCAAACTACTGGAGTTAGTCTTTCACCATCCCCTGCACCCCTCAAAGCAGCTGGCTATGAAGGCCATGTGATCGCTGTCCCCACCTCCAGCAAAATCTTGCAACTCCCACTGGCTGGAAACTGGCCAATGGGAGCTGCCTGGGCTGTGCTTGCAATGCATGCAGTGTGTGGAGGCCCCCTCCCAAAGTGTGTGCAACACATAGAAAGCACATAGCCTATGCAGCTGGCCGCTTTGAGTGGTGTGCAAGCATGCAGCAGGCAGGGAGCTAGTCTAAGGGTCCTGCAGGGCTGCTGGACAGAAGCTTCCTAAAGTAAGTGCCTCCTAGCCAGAGCCTGCACATAGCACTCCACCCTTTTCTCCTCCTAACCGTCTGCCCTCTCCCCGCACCACAGTCCCAATCCCAGTCCCTTTCCAGACCCTATTCCCCCTCCTCTACCACTCTTCCAAGTCAGACTCCTCTCCTGCACTCATACCCCCTTCCAGACCCTGTACCCCTTATTGCACCCCCAGTCCTCTGCCCAAGGAATTATGGATCAGCCCCCCACTTGGCCCCATTTAATCAGTTAAATTTTTAACTGGTTAACTAATTAAACAGGATTTAACATCTCTGTGATGGGCCATTGGCGGCCCGCACTAGAGCGGGCCCCAACAGAAAGCCCAGGAGGTGCTGCGCAGTTGGTGGACCGCCAGAACGCCGCATCCCCCGAGCCCAGCGCGGAGTGGAGTTCAGCGGCCGGGGCAAACTGCGCCAGTTGACATGCTGGCCTGGACGTGCACGCCCGAGGCAGGGGACGCCAGGATGCAACCCCGCCTCCTGCAGCCCTGCGTAG